CAGCTATTAGAGATGAGTTATGAACACTGTGATGATCAGAGGTGTGTTGAGGAAATCTGCTGGTAATCGAGTCGTTAATAATCGAGGGCTCATCATTCTGCCTCAGCTGTGTTTATTCAGTGTTGTCCAGACTGAGCGCTCAGCGTCTTCACTGTGCTCCAGCTCCAGCAGTGCTTCAGTCAGAGCGGTGAGGCTCTCCTCCTCCTCCTCCTCCTCCTCCTCCTCAGTGGGCAGCTGTGGTGTTGTGCGTCGTCTCTGTAAGAGCAGCACAGTTCTGATTTCGGCTCTCTCGTGTTTATTTCTCAACTCGTTTGTTTATGACATTAATGAGGGTTAATCACTGCGCTCTGACACACGATTGAGCATTAATGCGCTCACACTAACATGAGTTTAGATGTGTGTGTTCTGCTCATCTCCGAGACTGAGCACACACACACACACAGCAACATGCGCTCTCACGCGCGCTTTTAAACACACTGTGTGTGTGACGTTACAGACTCATACTCCTCTGGTGTGTTGTGTTGTAGTGTGTGTTACAAACTCACACTGTTGCATGTGTGTGTGTGTGTTTTATTTCAGTCAAGCCCTGTGTTTACACTGTTTCCGTGCTACCGTTACAACATTCTGAACGAAAGAGAAGACAACAAGAGTACACACACACACTCACTCACACACACACTCACACACACACTCTCTCTCACTCACTCACACTCACACACACACTCACACACACACACTCTCTCTCACTCACTCACACACACACTCACACACTCACTCAAACACACACACACACTCTCTCTCTCACTCACTCACTCACACACTCACTCACTCACACACTCACTCACACACACACACACACACACACACACACACACTCCCTCCCTCTGCTGATTTCCTCCTCAGTCCAACTGGAAGCACAGAGTGTTCTGGAGGTGCAGACCAGCAATGCGGCTCTCCATCTCTGGGTCAGTGTGTGCTGGGTCAGTGTGTGCTGGGTCAGTGTCTGCTGGGTCAGTGTGTGCTGGGTCAGTGTCTGCTGGGTCAGTGTCTGCTGGGTCAGTGTGTGCTGGGTCAGTGTCTGCTGGGTCAGTGTGCTCTGGGTCAGTGTGTGCTGGGTCAGTGTGTGCTGGGTCAGTGTGTGCTGGGTCAGTGTGTGCTGGGTCAGTGTGTGCTGGGTCAGTGTGTGCTGGGTCAGTGTCTGCTGGGTCAGTGTCTGCTGGGTCAGTGTGTGCTGGGTCAGTGTCTGCTGGGTCAGTGTGCTCTGGGTCAGTGTGTGCTGGGTCAGTGTGTGCTGGGTCAGTGTGTGCTGGGTCAGTGTGTGCTGGGTCAGTGTGTGCTGGGTCAGTGTGTGCTGGGTCAGTGTCTGCTGGGTCAGTGTCTGCTGGGTCAGTGTGTGCTGGGTCAGTGTCTGCTGGGTCAGTGTGCTCTGGGTCAGTGTGTGCTGGGTCAGTGTGTGCTGGGTCAGTGTCTGCTGGGTCAGTGTGCTCTGGGTCAGTGTGTGCTGGGTCAGTGTCTGCTGGGTCAGTGTCTGCTGGGTGAGTGTGTGCTGGGTCAGTGTGTGCTGAAGGGTCTCCTGGCTCCTCCAGCTGCTGATGAACATCTGCTCCACACACACTGATGACCTGCAGAAGAGGAGGAGGATCAGTGAACACCTGCAGCACATCTGCTCACACATCTGGTGTGTGTGTGTTTGTGTGTGTAGCACCTACATTAGAAGAGGAGAGCAGAGCCGCACCGCTGCCGAGACCAGCTCCAGTTTCTGCAGCGGGAGTGTGTGTGTCTGCAGGAGGAGTGTGTGTATCTGCAGGAGTGTGTGTGTCTGCAGGAGGAGTGTGTGTGTCTGCAGGAGGAGTGTGTGTGTCTGCAGGAGGAGTGTGTGTGTCTGCAGGAGGAGTGTGTGTGTCTGCAGCAGGAGTGTGTGTGTCTGCAGGAGGAGTGTGTGTGTCTGCAGGAGGAGTGTGTGTGTCTGCAGCAGGAGTGTGTGTGTCTGCAGGAGGAGTGTGTGTATCTGCAGGAGGAGTGTGTGTGTCTGCAGGAGGAGTGTGTGTGTCTTCAGTCTGCAGCTCCATCATTGGTGGGTCAGGACCACAGTCTGGGTGAAGCTCTCCATCTTCGTCTCCACCTTTCCTACTCTCCTCCTCCTCCGCCCTCCTCTTCTCCTCCTCCGCCCTCCTCTTCTCCTCCTCCTCCGCCCTCCTCTCCTCCTCCTCCACCCTCCTCCTCTTCAGCACCGGCAGGGTGACGGTCAGCAGTCTGTGGGTGTGGTTGAACTGCGCCTCCGCCCGCTCCTCCTCCACCGGGTAGGCCAGCGGCAGCTCCAGCCTGTACTCCGCCGTCGGGGCCTCCGCAGCAGCCGCCGCTCCTCCACCCGCAGCTCCGCCTCCTGTGCGCTCCTCAGCCGGGGAACCTCCACCTCGATGATGATGGCGGTGGGCCGGCCCGCAGACCCCGAGTCTCTGCAGCAGCGGTAGTCCTGCAGGTCCAGCACAGAGCGGTACTTCAGGCGGTACTGCGGGGCAGTGGGGGGTGGGTCAGTAGTCTGCTGTGGGTCGGTGGGCTGATGTGGGCCGGTGGGCTGATGTGGGTCAGTGGACTGCTGTGGGTCAGTGGTCTGCTGTGGGTCAGTAGGCTGCTGTGGGTCAGTAGGCTGATGTGTGCCGGTGGGCTGCTGTGTGTCAGTTGGCTGCTGTGTGTCAGTTGGCTGCTGTGGGCCGGTGGTCTGCTGTGGGCCGGTGGTCTGCTGTGGGTCGGTAGTCTGCTGTGTGCCGGTGGTCTGCTGTGGGTCGGTGGGCTGCTGTGTGTCAGTTGGCTGCTGTGTGTCAGTTGGCTGCTGTGGGCCGGTGGTCTGCTGTGTGTCAGTTGGCTGCTGTGGGCCGGTGGTCTGCTGTGGGTCGGTGGGCTGCTGTGGGCCGCGGTCTGCAGCCTCTGTCTGGCCCGGGTTCGGCCTGCGGATCATGGTGGGTTGCGGTTCTCCTTTATACTTCATCATCTTCAGCCGCGTCACGTGCTCCAGCCGGATGCGGAAGTTGTCCTGGATGCCGCCGGTCGCCGTGCGGTGGATCAGCGTCATGAACCGCGCGTTATTCTCCGCCATCAGCAGCGCGTCCGGGTGAAACACCGCGTCGAACAGCACGCACGGCGCCCCGGCGGCGTCTCTGCCCGCTCGGCCGGGAGTCAGGCTGTACGGGATCCGCCAGCTGTGGCCGGATCTCCCGCGGTCGTCGGTGGCCGCCTCGCTGCGCGGTTTCTCGATCAGCTGATCGGAGCAGATGTTGATGAAGCACTTCCCGCTCGGGCCGCGGCCCTTCAGCACGTGATGCGGCGTCGGGTGAATGAACTGCACCGCCGCGCCGCGCTCCTCCTCCAGCCGCCGGATCTCCTCCTCGTAGCGGCGCCGGTTCTCGGGGCTCGAGATCTCCTCCACATATTGGGTCAGTAACTCGCGGAAGCGCCGGTCCTGCAGCGCCTCGCCGATCCGCCGCATCTCCGCGCGCGTCAGCTGCAGCTCCGCCAGTCTGTCCGCGTCCATCGCGTCTCTTTAACTCGTGCTGCTCCGGTCAGCGGCTCCGGTGAACAGCGCGTCAACAGCTCGGTGAAACGAGGACGCGGTAACCATGGAAATAAGACACAAAGCGCGCATCCGCTGTAACCATGGAAAACACAAACACGGCGCTCCTCGCGTGTGCGCGCCTTAACCGTCATGGCTGAAGGCTGACTATGGCGGGTCCTCGGTTCCAGGAGCGCAGAGACCGGTGCTGACAGCTCACCCGAACACTGAACAGTGAACGCGTCCTGTGAGGAATGAGGTGCCGCGCTCTTCCTGATGGTCACATGACCTTACCGCGTGTATAATGCGAAATGAGTTCAACATTCCAGCATCATACAGCGAGTCACAGTGTTCCCCTGCTCTCTCCTACACACACACACACACACACACACGCACACACACACACACACACTGCACAGCACAGAGGACGGAGTTTACCAGGAGTAGCAGTAGATGATCAGCCTCGGTGTGTTCTGCCTTCATGAAGATGTTGAGGGTGATGTTTACCTGCACTGGATGACGCAGTGGTGTAGCGCTGTCGCCTCACAGCACTGGTTCGAGTCTCGGCTGGGTCAGTTGGTGTTTCTGTGTGGAGTTTGCATGCATCCTCCGGGTGCTCCGGTTTCCCCCACAGTCCAAACACATGTGCTATAGGGGAACTGACCAACTACACTGGCCGTAGTGTATGAGTGTGTGTGTGTGTTTCCCAGTACTGGTTTGCAGCTAGAAGGGTATTCGCTATGTAAAACATACGCTGGAATAGTTGGCGGTTCATTCCACTGTGGTGACCCCTGATAAATAAAAAGACTGAGCTGAAAAGAGAATGAAGAATGTTGTGTCAGCGGGTCATCAGCTGTTTCCATCCAAAAATGTGAATAAACTTAATGCGCAAAACTGAGTTACGGCATAAAAGATGAGTGAACAGAGCAGCGCCTCCATCCAACCAGTGTAAGAGAACACGATCGCCACGGCGTGATGAACTGACGACTAATATCAACAGTAAAAGCAGAGTTCACTGCAGCAGGAGAAGCTCCTCCGTCTGTTCTGCATCTGATAAATGAGCGAGTCACTCTGTAACCCCGCCGGTCGTACACCACCCAACCCGCTCTGAGCTGGGATCGAACCGGCGACCTTCCGCATGGGATTCGGTTGCTTTAACAAGGAGGGTAAAGACCATGACCTCTAGTGTCTGTCGCCAGAGCAGCTGTAGAGGTCAGAGGAGTGAGCGTTACCTGCACAACACACACTACAACTGCATCCTCCATATCTCCTGCAGAACACACACTGCAGAACTAACACACTACAGAACGAACACACACACACACACACTACAGAACACACACTCACACACACTGCAGAACGAACACACACACACACACACACTCACACACATTACAGAACGAACACACACACACACTCACACACACTGCAGAACGAACACACTACAGAACGAACACACACACACACTCACACACACTGCAGAACACACACACTGCAGAACACACACACACAGCTGAGTGTAACAGCAGCAGATGGAGAGCAGTTTATATTGATCATAATCATTTTATTGTTTTCATTCAGTTTTTTCTACACACACACACGCACGCGCGCACACACACACGCACACACACACGCACACACACACTCAGCAGTCAGTGAGCTGATCACCGGCAGTGACTAAATCTTCAATTTCCTAGAGCATAGTGCAGTGCAGGTGTGTGTTACTGCAGTGCAGGTGTGTGCAGGTGTTACTTCAGTGCAGGTGTGTGTGTTTGAAGGTGTGTTACTTCAGTGCAGGTGTGTGTGTGTGTGTATGTGCAGATGTGTTACTGCAGTGCAGGTGTGTGTGCAGGTGTGCGCTGTGTTCTGTTCTGCAGGCGGCGGCGCAGTCTCAGCGGCAGGAGGAGAGTCTGGGACACACTGATGTGGAGAGAGATGCAGTCCTGACACAACCTGTGGAACAGCAGTGCGTCAGTCTGTGTGTGTGTGTGTGTGTGTGTGTGTGTGTGTGTGTGTGTGTGTGTGTGTGTGTGTTTATCATCAGTCCACACAGAGCTCACCGAGACAGAGGATGCGGCTGAGTCTGAAAGACCAGCACATCACTGCAGTGGCCCTGCGTACAAACACATACACTC